TTCTATCTGTAAATCATGCATAGGTAGTCTTACTTAAATTTCTACCACAGTTCCTCACATTCAACGTATCCACTTATATATTAATTTCGATAGCCTCTCTTGTCTATGAATTAACAGTAGACGTACCATAACCACCAAACATATGCGTTTGAGACCATTCCATCTCGTATCCAATCTATGCCATATCTTCGGCCAATTCTGACAGTTATAACCAACCGCCTTTGCAGGCACTTTTGTGTGCACCTAAACTTTGAAGAATAGACAGAAACGTCTCATCATCATAAAATTGACCAGAGGAACACATAATCTTGTAAGAGTTGGATCTCGAATAAAGTGTAAGGATTTCTTTGGACACTGCTTATATCCCACCTCCTCTATTACGAACTCGCACATCTTTTTAGAGGGAAGGCATGACGGCAAAATTGCAACAAGAGCAACAAGAGATTCGGAGGCCGATTTCACTAGAAGTTGACGGGTGATTCCCGTTATACTGCAGCCATTTGGATTCAATGCGACGTTCAGGTCGACGTAGTCCACAAGACATCCTCCCTTGTTTCGGATGAAAACGGGCTGAACTTTTGTCCATCATATGAAGGACATCTGCAGAGCTAGAATTCATTCCCCTAAGTCCCACGCTAACACTACCTCAAGAAGACTATCCGGTTCTATCTTACCTCTTATATAGACAAAATTATGAAAAAAATCAATAAGCATATGTAGATATATAATAGTTTGTCTAATAATCTTTCATGCTGATCCTACTACTTTTGCTCACTCGCGTGTGCGTGCTAACGTCTATACTCAATACCGGTCTTAAATCAGAGTTTCCAAGTGTTAACGTGAGACTTTTACAGGAATCAGTTCTACCTTTGAAAGTATCCATCATATGATGGAAGAAAGCTTAGCCCGTTTACACCGGACTTCACCAGGTACCTGTTCCTTGTGCACCTTAAAAGGGCCGTAAGTCGGCGAGGGGGGTCCTAGCATCTGCCTGGGTCGTTGAAATAAGCTTCTACTTCTCCGTTCCACCACTACTACTTCAGCCTGGTTTTAAGTCTCCCAGTTGAATTCTTTTAAAGGCGTATGATTATCAGTATCTTTTAAAGGAACTAGCGCTTTTTATATATAAATTGACCTAACCATGGATACCACTACTCTACCTTTGCCGGATTTTATAACAAATAATTTATTGTGACACAAATATCCTAAAACCCCAATGAGAACACAAGAATGCTTTGGCGTGATCATTTGATCACAATCAGGAATTGTCTCAGATTTAATACAATTATTCACTTCCTCAGGCAACCTATCCGATAAGCCAATTAAATCAACAAGAATGCCCAAAGAATGGTTAAATTTATTAGGAAGAGGGAAATTCGATCCTATTTTCAATAAAAGTTCTACACTACTTTTCAAAGTTATACTGGATAAATTAGTTACCTTATCCTTCCCAAATTTGTTGAGAACACGATTACGACTTACCTTAGGAGTAAAATCTCTCGATCTAATTCTAATTTACATGTTTCTGTGCTTCTTATCATGTATCCGCCTATCCGTGGCCTTACCTAAGCAGTCAGCCATGTCCTGAAACTTAAGAAAATCCAAATTAGTAAGTACTTGGGAAAGGAATTGTCTACGCTTGGTTTGGGTTCTAATTAGGTTGTGCAGTCTGTTAATGCATTCCATTAGCCTAGTTTCAACCAGGTTACACGATACCTGATCAAGATCCCTATTGATGGGACTTGGTAGGTCAAAACGTCCATCGAACAATCAAAATCTATGAATTAAATTATAAGAAATATAAATTTAAAAAAATCTAATTATATTTACTTTCCAGGCTAAACTTTTCTTGGTCATAGTTTTGGCGAAAAGACACGTGAAAAGAAGTTAAACAATATGTGAGTTGTATATATGAAAAAAAAATTGGGTTTTGATGAGTCCTTTAATAGACCATTCGAGAATCACTTCCAGTTCTGAAATTATTGGTCAGATAGATGGATAACTATTTTGCTATTTGGAATCAGGGCAAAGAGAGAAGTTAATAAATAGATTAAAGAGGACGACTAAATTAACTATGGAGTTATAAAAAGACATTAAGTCACCCTCCTTAGATGCCAAGATTAGTAAAAGAAAAAGTAAATTGGGTAGGGATGTATATAGGGAACTCACAAACGAGGGTTCCTTCTTAATTTCTTCTCAAATCATACTCATGATGCTAAAGGAAGGGGTTAGTAAGTGAATAGTGGTAAGGAGTTTGCATCTAGCGGATGTAACTCGCCAGGATCAGGAGTTAGGAAGGATAAGAAAAATCTTAGTTGAGAACAATTATCTGCTAGGATTAATTGAGAATAGCTTTGAAATGTTAAGAAATTGAATGAGAGGAAACCACAGGGAATTACACGACTCCTTATCTAGGTACTTGATGATACAATTCCTCAAGGTTTGAAAAAAGATAGATAAATTACTGAGAATATGGAAAATCAGGACCATGTATAAAGAAAGGCTAAAACTTTTCTCAGTCATGCCTTTTTTTAGAGAATCTTCAGATCCCATGTGCAGATAAGGTTTTTATAAGGTTGCGTTTATGTGGTAATGTCTATGTGGGGAAGAATTGTCGACCTATACGCAAGTGGATATCAGAAAACAAAACCGCCAATGAGAGTTCATGAATGCATAAATCGGAGGTGCAGAGCGTGTGGTCACTACAGGACATCAGATAAGATGGTATGAAATCCAACTTTTTGTCGAATATGGAGACTTCACTACTAAGTCTAAGATTAGAGTCGATTAAAAGCAACAAAATAAAGAAAACCCTGAATAAGAGGAATAAGGGAAGAAAATCAAGCAAGGACTCTTTCTGGCTTCTGGATAGGATTAGACAGGGAGAAGGAAGAGCGGAGAGAGCCACGGAGTAAGAAAGGGCTTGATTAATCTAGAGTCTAGTTTGGGCTTAAAATTGTTAACTGACTCATGGATATTGCATACACAAAATACACACTCATCCACCAAACCAAACCAGTATTGTAAGAGTTTACTTAGATGAGGAAGAGCTCCCCTTTCAGGCATCATCTTTACTAGTCTGCATGCATGTAGGGTAGACAAGTAGCCAAGCAGCTATTGAGATGCCTCATCAAGATCAGAAAGTTAGATATAAGAATTGAGGATATGAAGACCGAGATGGCGTGGCCTTTTGTGTGGTCGCAGTCTCTCTTTGTTGTATAGAAGTTGTTTGGTCTTGTTTTCGGAACTAAGTCATATTGGCAGGAAGACCTAGAGGAACGCACCTTGTCCAGAGTCCATAGTATGCGTCTGGGAATGTACCACATCCACGATCCAACTCTAGAAATTATCATGCATACTATGGACTCCGGACGAGGTACGTTCCTCTAGGTCTTCCTGTTAATATGACCAAGTTGCGAAAACAAGGTCAAACAACTTCTTAGGTATAAGAAGTTAATAGGATTTCAGCCAGCCACCTTTATTGGTTTATTGTTTATTGGTGATTGTTCGTATATGATGTCTTCTGGCTGACGATGTCCGTCGTATGACGGGCGAAAGTTTAGCAAGGATCCGTCGGGACTGTAAGACGATGAACCGAAGTCTTTTTACCTCAAACCAACAATCAAAAGTCTGAGGCAATCATCCTTCAGTATCCGGTGAAGCCAATTTACGAATCCCCTCAAACCGCATTTTCGAATGAAATGAAAGATATGCCATCATTATGCCATCGAATTGTACTTAGTATTGACTGCTAAAAGGCCATCTTATATAAGGTGGACTGTAGCTCAACTCGCCTCAAATCTCATTAGGGAGGCCGTTACTAGCACCCAGACCTAGGAAGAGATCAAAAGCTAAGTCCATCCTGGACACTTTTTTGGAAGGCAAGTGGAATTCAACGCCACCATGAGGCCCACTCATCTCATTATTGGAAAGCTCAATTGGCAGTCCTTAAATCACCATAAGCGATCAGGGGTTACTAATTTCTTTTTCGATAAGTAATGATGGTCTCGAAAAGTATTTATATCTAAAAGGTCTTCTAAATTTTATTTTTGTTTTACTGTAGAGCACCAGTCCTAGTAACCTTAACCTTATCTTACCTTAACATGAACCTTATAGTTAACGTAGAAATTTTTATCACTGCAAAATACCATGAAGTAACATAAGTGCTAATTCATCTATCATGCCGCAATGTCTCTTCATAAAATTAATTATTTTATAAAAATCACTGTGATTTATCAGTAAAAGCTTATAGTTGCGGCCATCAAAAAAGGCATGTAACTATTCCATAACACACGTACCTGGGGATTAGTAAAAAAGCTGTCAGAGTAGTTGAGACAGCCACCAGCATTTCCATCTTTCAAGCTCCAAGAGGCATGCAGCCGACATTCCGTCCACAGGCTGGCCCAAGGAAATCGAGCAAACTGGCCTAAAGCCACGTTAGTTAATTCTGAGGCATTGAGAAGACAGCGACCGGGCCAAAGGCGTGAACTGATGCCTTTATTTGTAGTTGACATTAAGAATATTCCCACAGATGGTAATTGATCATTAGTTGGACGACTTGTTAGTGTGTGCAAATGGCTTCCGAACGATGCAAACATTTTTCGATTTCCACCAGTACCACGTGTTAATTGCGAGGTCCGGTCTAAGCAGGATTGTCTGATAGTCCAGCCAGCGCTGCTCAGAGGACTGCTAGCTTGGAATTGTTGAATTACATTGTTGAAACCACGACAACTGCTGTAAGTACGTTGAAAATGAATGGGCTGGCGCTGAATATATATTTGTGGATCCGGGCGATTTTCACCAGACACAGGGAGGAAAAGCAATGACTGGTAAAAGTGATAATTGTGGAAGTAGTAGGCAATAGGCCGCCTAACTCTTTGTGAAAGACAAGTAGCTATGGCTGGCTCATATCTGAACGGACCATAGCCGGAATACGGAGAGGTTCCAGAGCCAGCTTCTGTGAAGCTTGTAATGTTGTCCCTGCATTCGGCTTTATGAGAAGACATTTGAGTGGGGTTAATAGGGAGGAGGCGTAGACAGGTGACCAGACCTGGAGGAGGGCGCGAGATAGTCGATGAAGTAGGCTGCGGGACAAGCCAAGATTAGTTAAAAAATGGAATCCTGTAAATTAGTTGAACCAAATTAACCCGTCTTATTCAAATAATTTCCTAGAGGATCAAGGGTTTACAAATATATGAGCCAACAAAAAGGGCTAGGGCTAGGTCATATCGTTGCGACTGGGAGACTAAAATCGAATAAATTTTGAGAAATCGACTGGAAGATTTGTGACGAACA